AATGTAGACATCCTCTCAGAAAGAAGTCTCAGGAGGTTGTTGCACAATAGCAAAGCTGTCTCATCATGAACCTGTGAGGTCTTTGAGGTGATTGCATGCCTCAGCATTCGTATTAGAGGAATTACCTTTGACCCTGACACTCTTTTCTCCTCTGACAATTCAATGGAAGCCTCATTGAAGTGACACGTCACACCAAGAAATTCATTTACTGTCTGGTACTCTTCTGAAGTCAAAGGTGTGAGGTTTGTCTTCAAAGTTACCAAAGCAGCACCTACTGGCTCCCTCTGAGCAAAGAGACGCTCTAACATGGCATATGTTCTGTTCCAACGCGTATCCACCTCCTGAATCAACTTATGATTTGGTTTGCCCATCTGATTTTGTAATACCAATCATCTTTCTCTTGCTGTTGTGCTGGATTTGAAATGAGCCACAATCTTTCGTGCCTTTAGTCGTATGTCCTCCAATCCTGGTGTTTGTTCTATAGCCTTCTTCACAACCAGGTATAGAGCATGTGCTATGCAGTTTGTGTGGCGCAGTTTCAGTCTGCTGGCACATGCAGTCATGTTGGCAGCAGCATCAGTTACCAGACACCTAACTTTGTTTTGAATGCCCCATTCCTCCATCAAAGCAGACTTCACTTCAGCTATATTTTCAGAAGTGTGACTATCTGATCATTTTCATTTATAAAATGACACGTCACCGCCAGATATGCATCCATATTATGAAGAGATGTCCACATATCGGATGCGAGGTTTGCAGCTCTGGCCTTTTTCGCCTCTTCTTTTGCCTTCTCTTTGGCCTCCTTGTATTTTTCCTCCACCATTTTCTTTAATGTCTGGCGGGATGGAAGAGTGTAGGTTGGATCCAACATTCCTACAAACTCCTTAAAGCCAGCATCTTCAACAATTGAAAATGGCTGGTAATCTTTAACAACCATGTTGACCAAGGCCCCATCAATCATCTGTTTTCTGATCCCTGTAATACAGTAAAGTATTTAAAATATAATTTGTAATACATAACTATGCGCTATTTAAGATTTATTTCTATAAAGACAGCAATTGACAAAAATAAATGACTGATCAGAAGTGTTATATCTTGGTTGCTAGCAGCTGGTCCACTTCCAGGAGATGTGTTCTCATGTTTAGCTCTAAAATGTCTCAACATTGAGGATGTGTTGTTATTATAAGAAAGCTGTTGAGAACAAATTAGGCACTCAGCCTACAGAAGGAGGTCAGATGTATTAATATATTGTAATTATTAATAGTAGTAGTAATAATAATAATTATTATTAGTATTAGTATTAGTATTAGCTTACTTTATTTGTTGATACAACTTCCGAACGGCCTCTTTTCTTCCATGCTGACAATTCAAGAGCTCAGTCTCCGTTCGAAGTTCACTACCGATTACCGAAGTGCATGACACTCAAAACCTTCGCAAGGGGTTCGCGCTATTTTTGAATCAGATTACGAAGCAGTCACGTGGTTGTAGACGACCAAGCTTCGATACAAGCTTCGAAGCCTCGGCCCAGAATGTCAAATCACTACATAGGCCTATTTGTTGGCACAGTCAACGATCTGAAGGTCAATGATCGGACAAACCTGCACGCCTCTGATTGGAAAATGTTTACCTATATGTGCAAACGTTTAAAACTTTGGGAGTTATAGGCTACTAATAATATCTACACTGATAAAGAGAACGAACTTTGGTATTAGATTGTGAACGAACAGCGGCTAACTATTAGCCTGCACTGTAGCGATTCGAAGTCTAACTCATTTTCGGAATCGGTTCTTTCGAACAAATTGTTTCATAGAGCCGTATGAAAATAGCCATCCTGTGGCATATTATGTACTTTATATTCTGATACATTGCTCATATTTATATTAATAATTGTGTTTCATCATCATTTCATGTGGTACAATTGTTGCAGCCATGGTTTTTGTAAAATCATTTAGAAACGAGCAAAAATAACACTGCTAAAATTGATGCTAAAATTCTGCTGACATTCATTTAAATCTCCCGCTTTTGTACGATTAGTAAAATGCGTCTTGAAAGTACCTCAAAAGGAATTTGTAAACAATTTGTTCAGATGGGTCTTAACCGACCCATTAATTGGAAATCATTGGAACCAGTGTTACGAAATTTTCGGTTTCTGAGATTTTCGGTTTCAGTGGGCGGAGCAAACATGAATATTCACGAGTTTCCCGGACATGCGCGTGGAACCAGGTGGAACTGAGAATTTCAGTTCACACTCCTTGTATCTCGGCAGGTTTAATGGAATAAAAAAAAAAATAAAAAAAAAGGTAAATATATTTCCAGCGTTGCACAAACTACATTTGTTTATCATTTCGGAACCGTTTATAATGTTTTGCACGTTTTGTGCAGTCGTCCCTGACTGAATGATTGCAGGCATTCTTTGTGTAATGTTAGGATAAAGCACAACAAACTTCAGCTAGTTGTATACATTGATTTCGGTTCTTTGTGCTCTTCATTTGTAGCTTGCGATGCTTTAAAACTGTGTCTGTTATTAGTTGTTATCATTTTTTTTGAATACATCACTGCCTGCAACAAATGAAATAAACCTATATAAACGTATCTGTAGACATATTTTTGTATACTGGTGTGATGATCCATGTCTTAACTTACCCCGTTCAACATTCTCCATGTTGGTTGTGAATTGTCTGCTGTCTGGTTGTAAACTATGATACAATCATACACTGCTGCAAAAACATATCATATATCATATAAAAATATCTATTTTACATTTTCCAATGTAAAATATTGAAACATTTTTACAAACAAATAGAAATTTACAAATTAAGATTATCACAAGGTTTAAGGTCCCATTTGCACAGTGAAACCAAAAATCCCAGAACACCTGGATGATTACAGCTACAGGTTTCCAATAGTAGTGCAGATCCAACTACCATTTCAATTATTTGTTTTTATGCTCTTCTGTTACCTTTTAAGTTTTAAAACTGTCATCTTCTGGCAATGAATGAAATAACGTTCACCACCATATCAGTGGCCTAATAAACATTTTACAACCTACACTGATGTTATTCTCTATCATCTGTTCTTTGACCATGTGTTGCACTTTACCTGCACAATGATGATCATTGATAAAAATGCATGGTCTATTTTGATGCACATCAAAACACTCATTCAACATTATTTATAGGCTAAGTCATAAACATATATATTCTTAATTAGGCTTTTTTTTTTTTACATAAATTGTTCGCTCCTGGTGGAATGACCTGCCCAACTCAATTCGAGCAACTGAGTGCTTAGCCATTTTCAAGAATCGTCTAAAAACACATCCCTTCCATCTTTATTTGACCCTCTAACTCTAGCACTCTCTATTCTAATTCTATTTAATCTATTTGTTGACATGACCCTCTAACACTTTCTCTCTCTATTTGTTTTCCAACTGCTTGTTTTCTTTAAAAAAAAAGGCCTCCAACACTAGCTTTCTCTATTCTTTTTCTATTCTATCTACTTGTTTTCTTTTTGTTATGTGTATGTGTAAAGCGTCTGCTAAATGACTACATACATACAACATACATACATAAATAAATAAGTAAAAAGGCCTCTAATTACAAAAAATAAAGTGGAATAAAGATTGGATTGTGGCTTTGATTAGCTTGAGGTAAAATGTGTGTTGGTGTGGATGTTTGACATTATGTGAGACAGTGACATTTTGTTTTTAAAAATATGAATTCAATAGTGATTCACACTCAAAATCCAGGAAAATGATAGTCATGGAGGATGCGAAGTAAAGTTTTTCTGAATTTTGAGCATGAATCACTATTGAATCCTTGTTACAAACTAAAAAGATGTATGCACCAAAACAAGACAACATAGGAGACAAGAGAGTGTGATCAGCATATTATAATGATCTCTGAAAGATCACGAGACACTAAAGAGAAGTTGAGATCTGACATCACAGAGGGGGAAAAAACTTTATTTTAAATTGTAAAATTATTTCATAATATTAATGTTTTTCGATATTTTTTATCTGATAGCCTAAATGCAGTTGGTGAACATGAACAAAGAACCTTACTAATACAAATCCTTAGAACAGTATTGTATATATCATATCAAAACAAGCACAAGCACACTTATGAACATTTGTTAATAAAATTATTTTTAACATGAAATTGCTTATTCCATTCAGTAAAATGCAGTGAAGTATTTTTCTCATTTACAGTGTACCAAATGTAGGCTACTTTTAAACTTTTGTCCATACAATTTTGTTTAATCCAAAATTGTACTTATTAAAGGAATGCTTTCATGCTTGTGTGTGTGGTCTTAGATTCCTATTCATTTAGTAAATATAACAGTTTAAGAACAATCACACCAGCATAGATGAAAGACGATTAGTCCAAAAATACAAGTTTATTTCAGCTGTTGTACTCAAATGATAACAACAGACATAGTTTTAAAGCATTGCAAGCGACAGCACAACGAACTGAAATCAAAGTAATTTATACAACTAGCTTAAGTACGCTGAATGTCTGCAATCATTCAGTCAGTGCCGACCAAACCCCTCCCTCAGAAAATCTCTAGAACCAACCTCAAAAGTCTCCATTTTTCACAAAAAGTCGCCAAATATGAAAACAAGCTCCTTGTCACAACAAATAAAAAAAAGTCGCAGCTACAATGAGAAAGTAGCTAAATTTGGCGACAAAATCCCCAAATTGGCAACACTGGTGCCGACTGCACAAAACGTGCAGACTAATAAAAACATTATAAACTGTTACAAAATGATGAACAAATGTAGTTTAGGTATAGGTTTGTGCAACGCTGTAAATATGTTTAGCTTTTTTTTAATATTCCATTAAACCTGCCGAGATACAAGGAGCATGAACTGAAATTCTCAGTTCCACCTGGTTCCACGCGCATGTCCGGGAAACTTATGAATATTCATGTTTGCTCCGCCCACTGAAACCGAAAATCTCGTAACACCGGTTCGTCTGAATGATTGAAAAGATCCGACTCAAAAGAACGATTCGGACATCGCTGCTGCAGTGATTGGCAGACGTTTGTCCAGCCCCCTCTTCCGTACATCGACCATGAGCTCATAATGCACCACAAACACACTTAACCCCAGCTATTTACGGAGTGTAAGATATAATCAAAGGAAGGATTATGGATTCAGAAGCGATGGAATTGAATGGAGATGCTCACGGAGGAGATTCAGGAGTGGTGAGTGATTTTTAACATATCAGTATCATTTAAACGATCACAAACGCATCCGCCAATGGGATGCTAGTTTTAAAAGTTTAACCCATTATATTGGTGTCTATGAAATCCAGTCGGGTTAGATTAGAATAAAGGGGTTTCTTGGTTTTGGTAGAAAAAAAGACTGCTCGTGTACAGTTTCCTGTAATGCAATGAATGCACTTATGTGGATGAGTCTAACTGAAGGGATATTGTGGCGTGGTCCGCGGGGTAGATCTTATATAACTGCAGACCATGAGCAGATGTCTCCGGGATGTTTGTTTCCAGTAACGGAAGGTTGTGAGTGGCAACGAGTCTGTTCGCTGGTCAACATTAAAGCGCACGCGGCACAAAAGCGGTTCAATGTTTTGAAGCAAACCTCTTATTCATTACTCTGGTGTTTCGCTTCGCCGCGTCCAGACAGATGATGAGATCACCAGGCCGTGTAACCCTAAACAATAGGCTGTGAAAGACGCTAATAAACTCTGCCAGTGGAGAGGACACGTCAATAACGCACATTTAAAACACGGTATGCAATGCATAGCGATGCCCACAAACACACCATCGGTGTAGCACTTGACACAACAGTAATTCTAAAAACATTAACTATATAACATGCAACAGAATCTGGATTCCGTCACACTTTACACTTGTTTAAAAAAAGAAAGAAAGAAAAAGTGTACCTTAAACAATATTACCATAAAAGCATATATTAGCTTCTTAAATATTTATATTATTTGTTAATTAAAAAAGATAATACCTTTTCTCTTGATATTTATTAATACATGTATTCTGTATTTTATATGAATGGAACATATATGGTAAAGGCCGTTACAGTTAACCAATTAACTATTTACCTTACTGTAGCATTTTTAAGTTCCTTTTCCATGAACATTAAACAGTCAAACCATAACGGATGGATTCTACATTGAGCAAGCTTTACAGTCTTGCTAGCCCAGGAGGGAACAAAAAAATAAACAAAAGCTGACATCACATCATAACTTATCTTCTAGTAATAAAGCACTATCTAATGCATTTAGTATAGTCGTTCCTATTGCTACTACTAAAGTTACTGTACGAGTACACTACTGCACGAGTACACTACTGTATTATTTAGGGTAAAATATATGAATGTATAGGGGAAAGTGTATTTTACGTGTTGTGACAGGTCAACATTTCTCATAAGTTTTTTCAACTCGTACAGTTCCCATCTCTGAAGGTTTTTTTTTTTTTTTATTTAAACCTTAAATTTTAATAAGTTTGTCTTACACTTCTATTAATGTTTGCACTGAAGGAAGGTGAGGTGAAGTGGTTAGAAAGACTAGAGGAACATCTTACCACCAGTGGATTTTTTTCACCCAACAAACACCCTGAAACACACAAAATCAAACAAATCATCATTCCTGTGGGTTGACCAGTGTTTAAGTCACTGTGTGTTTAGGCAGACTGAAAGGGCAGTGATTTCTATGTGGCTCATTTCTATGCCAAGTCGAAATGACAACTCCACCTGCTTTGGTATGATGTAATACTTTTTGGAATTATGGACAATTGCACCATTGATTGTAATTCTAGTGTCAGGTCCATAAATATAGCCGCAAAAAAAAAAACTTACACAACATAGAAGGTATGAGCAAAGTTAAAGGTTAAAAACATAAGTGTGAAATGCGTATACTGTAGTTCTAGGTATGTTGATTGCATTACAGTTACATATCACTTCGCCACATTGTTTCTGAACTAGTACCGGCAGCTGTGCTGTGCAAGATACTTCATCAGTGACATAGTGAAGTGGTTCTACACACAAGAGGGATGCAAGTCTGAAAAACAAGATAAACACATTGTGCAGACAAGTACATCGTGCTAACTGTGGTATACTATAATTTACTTTTTCTGCATTTTACCACCTCATCCGTGAATTAATTTTAAATAGTTATAGAATGTATACAATATATGAGACATATAACAGCCCATGCAAGTCATTGCAATCTGCCAGGGTTGTCATGTACTTATTTTTATGAATGCTTTATATGTATGAAATAGTTCCTTTAAAGGTACAATATGTAAGTTTTCACTGCTAGAGGGTGCGTATTCAAAAGAAACAAAGGCGTAGTTTGATGACGCCGTGACTGAGTGTGGAATCATGGGAGTTGTCGTCTTCATCCCCACAGTAATCGACGAACAACAACGTCAAACTCTGAACTTTTATTAACAAAACAAATAAAAATACACCATATATGCCTAATAAAATAACAAATTACTTAGGCTACACAAAGTTTAAATAGGTATATAAAACTGAAAATCAGCAAACACTGTGGAACCAAATAAATAAGAAATGACTGTTTAAAAAAACTTCCAGTCTTTTCAAAATCTAAAATATTGCCAAACGGGCGCCTTTGCATTTCCTTTCTAAACAATCTTCTGCCATCGTTTTGTCTTTCTCACCTCACTCTTGTTAGTCAGCTTGACTCACTCTCCTCACGTGATGAATAAAATCGGACTCCTGCTCCGTGGTGCACTGTCGTTCGCGCACGGTTCGGCATGCTGCATTGAGCATTTAGTTTTTAAAAGTGTCTGTCCTCTAACTGAACTCACTTTAGCGTTTCCGCTCCTTCCGGTCGTGCGTATGTGGGGTAAAGCGGCGCTGTTTTATCATACTAGATACGTTTGAAAGTTCTGTTATAATGCTACTCTGTGCGGTCGTCACCTGTCTAATAAAACGCACAACATATTAAAGCGTCTTTGGTGTTTCCATGTTTTCTACAAAACAAAAAACGGAAATCGAGGGGTTATGATGTCATTGGCAGGCGGCACAATGACACTATAGACACGGTCTGTGTCACTAGTTAAAATTGCTTATTTCTCTGGATTTAAACATTCTTCGAAAAATTTGGGATAATGTAAGTACACAAGTCAGCAAAATATATTATACTGTTTTAGTGGTTTTTGGATATTTTAATAAAAACATCTTACATATTGTGCCTTTAAGTGTTGCCAATAACTTTTTTGGCATTTCCGGTTTGAAAGTTTATGCAATATTTTGGTTTTTAATATCCAATGGCAACCAATAGCAGGACAGAGAAAGACGAAGAGACCCCAAGCTGATACATCTAGATAACTGGTTCTGAGTGTCATTGGGGATCATGGAAAGAGGGAGTATTTCTAATTTCTTTGCCACTCCCGGCATAGGCACAAGGGTCCCTTGTGTTGGGCAGCTGGACTGAACCATACCCAAAGTCAACACCTGCTCTACACTCCACTGAAGAGCCTGGAGAATACTATAGTGCAGTCAGTCTCAACCAAATATGAGACATTTTCTGCCATCTCAGAAATGTATGAATTCATTCATTTTTTCAATACTGAAGACTGAAGTCTGCTGCCCGGCTGGTGAGAGTCGAACAACACAAAGTAGATGTAATAATGTGACACCAGAATGACATCAGAGCAAGCTCACACCTGCAGCCTGACCTCTCCTCCGCCATAATAGAGAAGAATAGTGCTTTTGTGTTCACAGAGCCACATTAGCAAGAGGCATACAGAGCTCATCCCCTTTACAGTTCTCAGAAAGCTAAATCTCATGGATCACATGACCAGCTGCTGTGTATTATCTTGTTCAAAAAGAAATGGGGATTTCTTGAGATAATTCTTTAAAAGGCCCTTCATGATAAGCCAAAAGTACAATGCGAGTTTGATGACTCGTGGTCTATAACTCAAAACACTTGAGATATGTTACTCCAGCAACAATAAGAACTATAAGAACAAACGTTTGAACTTCAAATACATCTGACTGAGATTGTAGAACACTGTTTGAATGCAAAAACAGTGGCAAACATTCCATATCTGCTTCGTACTAACTAATGTTTCAAAGTGCAGTTGTTTTCAGAACATCACAGAGAGGAATTTTACCAATAAGCTGCTTTAACAGGATAAAAATTCTCAAGCTTCTATTTAAGAAAGTAATCAGTTCTAAATAGAAAATTCTACTGGAATCTCATGATAGCAAGGTGACAGTGATACAATGTTGAGTTTTCATCCAAACCATCATCTTGGTTGAGGTTGACGTTTCAATATTTATAGTATGTTGCATCAACATTGAACTTTTGATTAAAGCCAACAGCACACAGGGGTGGAGACAGGGATATTGAACTAACACTGATTTGTTGTTGATGACCACATCACGATGAATGTATTTCTGCAGAATTCTAGTTGGTGTTACTCAATCAGTGGGGTGTTTTCAAACCATGATGGGCACAATTTCAACTGATTTACCTGATTTGTTCTAATCCACTGGGGGCTTGGTTTAGGGGTGGGTCTTTGAGTAAAGCAGCTAAAAAAAAAACACCTGTTGTAGTCTGGAAGTGCCCACTGATTAAGAAACTCCCATTTTGGTTCTGCATGCGCAAGTAGTCTAACTTAGGCCTGGTACACACTAGACGATTTTCAAATCTTAAAGGGGTCATGAACTGAGAAATCAAAATTCTCTTGCTCTTTTGACATATAAGAGGTCATTGTATTATAAAAACATCCTGCACGTTTCTGAACTCAAAACTTTCTCGTTAGTCTCAAAACAGCTTATATTGAAGCCAATCTGCCAAAACGACAGGTTATGGAATGTGCCACTTTATGCCGTAATAGTGTGGCTAAACCCTGCCTCCGCATAAGAAGATCAACGCCTGCTTCTACAGTTTATACACAGCCCATGTCTTACATTTTATACTCGATGCTTGCACAGCATCTTGCGTTCTTTCCTTTAGAAGTAAAGGCAGATGAGGATGGACAATTCAAAAAATGAGAAGTACCCTCCTAATAATGGTAATAATAATTATATGTTGACTTGTAGTTGACAGCACGATCACCTGACCAGGGATTTGTTGCTATCCTGTGCTTTATGTCCTGCTCCCCAATTACTGCATTATCAGGTAATCTTTCGTTTTCCTCAATCAGCATTAAATGTGATTAAACTGATCTCTATTCAGTTTAGCCCGTTCCCGCTTAAACACAATTACAAAAAATCGTGTGTTTATGAGAAAGTGACAGACGAGACTATTTTGTGACATTTAAGGAGTCTACATAAGGTGAATCTGCAGCTTATTATTTTTTTATGTTCCCATCCCATACTTTTTCCTGTGAGTAATGGCCATAACTCAGAGGTGGCCACCTTCATGCTGAGTTTAGAGTTCATGTATCCATCACACCTGCCTGGAAGTTTTCAGTGTGTTTATAGGACTGGAGATAAACTCATCTAAAAAAAAAAATGGACATCCCTGCCATTGCACTTCTATTTATAAATGTTAATTGTAGAAACTGTATTGATATTGAAGTGTTAATAGATTTGAGCTAATGGATTAAGTATAATTTAATGATACTACAATCATAGTTAGAATGTTTTGTTTTGAGCAATTTTAAAGTGAATCATGTTGTGTTTAACATTAACATTCCTGAACGTGACTATGTATGACAACTGAATTGACTTGCTTCTAGGCGACATCATGCTTGCTTTTTCAGATTTCAGAGAACCCAAAGGAAAACAGGCAGCCATCTCATTGTAAGCCAGCTTTTTAAAACTTGAACCTCTGGACCACTTGTAGTCTGACATCAGACTCCTGAAACTAATCATTTTAAAGGTTGTAGTGTTTTTGTCCTTTTTGTCCCACTTTTAATGTATATAGAATGATATGTTATGATATTTGTCATTGATTGTGTCAAACTGTTAAAAAACAAAATGACTCAATTGCTGGAAAGGTGTCATTTTCATTTTAAAAGGTTTTCCCCAAACTTTTAAATGGTCAGGAATTTGTTGTTGTACCACTGAAGTGTAGCTGAAATATTAATGTTGTTTCAACATTAACTGAGGGTGAATAAGTGATGCTGAACCATCATCCTTTCATGTTGATTCAGTGACATCACCATTGTTTTTTTTTTTTCATAATTCAACATTATTGTTTCACTATTAACTGAGGGTGAATAAGTGACGTTGAACCATCATCACTTCATAATATTGATTCAGTGACATTATTGTTTTTTTTTGATAATTCAACATCGTTTCAATATTAGCAGAGGGTTTATAAGTGATGTTGAATCATCACTTCATAATGCTGATTCGATGACATTACCATTTTTTTTTGTCAAAATATCCCCATTGTTTCAACATTAATTGCTGTTGCAAAAGTGATGTTAAAGCAACACCACTTTGTAACATTAATTCAATGCAGCTGGTGTAACATTGACTTAACATTGTTTCAAAGGTTGCTTGCTGTCTGGGATGAAAGCTTTAGGGAATTTAATTTGACATTTGAGAGTTTTCTGTGGTGCAGAGGTTTCTATAACCCTAGCAGTGACTACCAATGACCCACACTACACTTTTGTTTGAAACGGAAGGAAGGAAATCATGTCAGGGTCAACAAACCACTCACCCACTTCCCTTCACATGCTACAAACATCCTAAAGAAAAAAACACAAGTGACTTTCAGTTCCTTCTAAAACTGAGACATATGACCATAGATGACCCATCACTCAAATTTCTGAAGAATAGCTATTGAAGGTCAGAAAACAAGAAGTCAAATTCTATGCAAATTGTAATTCTCACTTGAAACCTTTCCAACTCTGGTAAATCTTTCTCGTGTACTCATTACCTTGTCTTATTTCCATGGATGTAGTTACATCACGTGTGTTTTCATGGTTGTGTTTAGCGTCCTCGGCAGAGCCGCTGGTCAAGGAACACCCCAATTAACATGAACCATTACGCCAATAAGAAGAGTGCAGCAGAGAGCATGCTGGATATTGCACTGCTGATGGCCAATGCCTCCCAGCTGAAGACCATCCTGGAGGTGGGACCCACTTTCTCCTTATACATTCCTCTCATCAGTCTCATCAGCATCTCCCTCATCCTACAGATCATCGTGGGGGTCTTGCTTATCTTCATAGGTGAGAGAAGCTCATCCAAGTTCACAGACCTCAAAATATAGAGACAATAGTGATTTTATACATGATTAGATTTGCTTCTATAAGACAAAATATTGTTATTACTATCATACCCTAATTACTAGCATATAGAAAAAAATTATGCAGTGACCAAAAAATATTTATAATATATGTGACCCTGGACCACAAAACTTAAGTCTTAAGTCGCTGGGGTATATTTGTAGCAATAGCCAAAAATATATTGTATGGGTCAAAACTATTGATTTTTCTTTTATGCCAAAAATCATTAGGACATTAAAGGAACACTCCACTATTTTTGAAAATAGGCTCATTTTCCAACTCCCCTAGAGTTAAACAGTTGAGTTTTACCATTTTCGAATCCATTCAGCCGATCTCTGGGTCTGGCGGTAGCACTTTTAGTTGTAGCTTAGCATAGATCATTGAATCTGATTAGACCATTAGCATCTCGCTCAAAAATGACCAAAGAGTTTCTATATTTTTCCTATGAAAAATGCGCAATGATATTACGCAGCTCCTGAAAATAGTCCCCAGCACGCTCCCTGTGCAAGCAGATGGTCACGTTGGTTATGTTGATGGAAGTTAGCCTATTTTCAGGCACTGCGTAATATCATTGCGCCTGCTGCACCCATGGTACGGCAGCAAAGTTCCTTGATTATTACGCCGGAATGAGAGTATAGTTCCTAGCCATATCGGCCTAGAAAATCACAACTTTTCATTTTCCGTCGGTCTTAGTACACGATGTAACTACAGAAGAGTCAAGTTTTAAATAGGAAAAAATATAGAAACTCTTTGGTCATTTGCTAAGCTACAGCTAAAAGTGCTACCGCCAGACCCAGAGATCGGCTGAATGGATTCAAAAAAGGTAAAACTCAACTGTTTAACTCTAGGGGAGTTGGAAAATGAGCCTATTTTCAAAAATAGTGGAGTGTTCCTTTAAGTAAAGATCATGTTCCATGAAGATATTTTGTAAATTTCCTACTGTAAATATATCAAAACGTAATTTGTGATTAGTAATATGCATTGCTAAGAACTTCATTTGGACAACTTTAAAGGCGATTTTTTTTCAATATTTTGATTTTTTTTTTTGCACCCTCAAATTCCAGATTTTCAAATAGTTGTATCTCGGCCAAATATTGTCCCATCATAACAAACCATACATCAATGGAAAGCTTATTTATTCAGCTTTCAAATAAATTGACCCTTATGACTGGTTTTGTGGTCCAGGATCACATATATGCATAACCTTTTAAAACCCACGAGAAACTATTTAAATTAAACCTTTCAAACTGGTGATGTAAAGCAGCATGCAAAAATAAACGTCTCAAGTAGTTCAACAAAAAGTGAAAATACTCACCCTCGGTGTTTTTCCAAACCCATATGACTTTGTATGAACACAAAGAAGTTCTGAAGAATGTTCATGCTGTTCTCCTCCATACAATGAAAGTGTTAAGCTCTGAAAGGGACAAAAAGCAACATAAAAACATCATAAAATACTTTATTAAACACTTTAATCCAAGTCTTTTGGTGACATTTGATATGTTTGCCTGAGGAACAGATTCAAATATATGTCTTGCCTTGCCACCATTCACTTCTATTATACAGAAAAAAAATCAGCATGGATGTTTTGCTGTAATAATAAATTCCATTTGTGTTCTATGAAAGAAAGAAAATTCTTCTTTACAGGGTTTCGAAAGACATGAGGGTAAGTAAACAATGACAGAATTGTAATTTTTGGGTGAATTATTTTAACATTTGGCAATTCAATCCAATAATAATTGTGTAGAAGGAGAACTGATACATGATACTAGAACAGAACTTTCAGTACAGAAGTTGCAGAGAGGTTGATCCTACACAAATCTGTTTGTTATTGTGCATTTAGTATTTCAACATAATTATATCAGGTGGTAAAAGTCAGTCCTGCAACACTTTGGTGTTTCCATTAGAAATGCTTTTACTTTCACTTTTATTTTTGTCCACAAAGTGAGAGTAAGAGCTTTCTCAGTTTGAGAAAGAGGTTTCAATCATATAAAGAAATTCCGTCCCAATTTGAGAAATATTCATATGCTCAACTTAAAAAAACACCCAGCGTCCATTAACTGTCTAGTATTTCCTTAAACACAACACTGTGCACTTTACACTGGAATCGATTGTGATCACAATCACGCTCTAATTGGTGGAAAATGGGCTTCATCTTTGGTATTGAAAGTTTTACAGTAATTATGCGAGTTCTTTTAAACATGAGCCGTTAGTGTTGGAGATTTTGACACCTGCACTACTGAATGATGGACACCATATAATTATCATTTTCTTGTCCCACATTTGTCCGATTTGACCCTTTCATTTTAATTTAAGAAGCTGTTAAATCAGTTTTCTTAAATGTTCTGAATTACATAATGAGCTGCTTTTATTGCTTTTGTTCTACAGTGAAATGGAATCTGAATGACACAAGTAAACACTTCATACTGAATCTTCTGGAGAACATCGTCACAGCTCTCATCTTTATCATCGTAGTAGTAAATATTTTCATCACAGCATTTGGCATCCAAAGACCAGAGGACACAAAAGCTTAACTGGCAACTCCAGTTTAGGGTTTCCTACAGGTATATATAGTTGAACATTTATTACCAAAATCAGAAAAGTTGTCATGACATATTCAAATGTGCCACTAAGTAAATATGCCTTATGTTTTGCAGAAACTTTTTTTAAATCCCAAAATGAGCTGCTACTAGTATCCTAAATACTATACGTTGTGGACCATAAATTCTAAATTTAATTAAAAAATGCAATTACATATAATTGTTGTACGAGTAATTGTTTAATTATATACGTACTTCACATTGTTAAAATGCATTAAATGTGAAATTGGATCAAATATTTTAATAGATTTGAGATTTTGAGACTGAAAATAATCAAGACAAAGACAAACAATACCTTTCAAGCCTGAAAGGGACAGTAGCACCTCACCTTACATTGGACCTTCATACTGTCTACCTGAAAGCCTCTGATCACTGTGGTTAGGGGGAAATGGACTCATTTTACGTGTGGTTCAACAGAATGCAACTCTTGCACATGGCACGTTTGTGTTTGTTTTTACTTAAAAGTCATACTTAAAGGTCTTGCTGCATGGATAAACTGCTTAACAAAGTCAGAACAAGGTACTTACAGTTCAAGCTGATCATGACTATATGAAGAGTTTAAATCTTTTCTTACAAAATTCAGTACCTTTACAAAACATGAATACTAAATCTGATTTGCCATCATAAATCTAGCACATTTTTATCTTGTATTAGTAGACCAAAAACGTCATAAATTGAGGTTTTTATTTTTGAAGTATTAAAAAAGAACTAGCAACAATGCATGTTGTCTGTTTGCATTGATGCAGTAAACACTGAAATAAGAGCGCCATCTACTGACAAGGAGCTATGCTACAGACAACGAAGCATATTGTTTTTTTCTTTGAAATATTTGTGACTAAGTTTTAAAGTTATTTAGTGTTTTGATGTTTGTTGTGATTATTTACTACCCATATGTTTATATGTTTCTTGAACTTTTTGTACATTTTATATGGATATTGTTTGTATAAATGACCAAAGATTGCCTTTTTTCACTTTTAGAGTACAGTATTAGTCCAATGAAAACCAAATAATTAAACATAAATGCATTACGTCATTATTTCAGTGCACAGATAAATAGTAGACCTACTTACAGTTGTTTTTACATTCAATAAAGCTGCTGCATTTAAGGACAAAACAATCATTCTGACATCAATAAAACTATTTTTCAGCAATCATTTTCCACTCGTCCACAAGTGTTTGCTCTGGTATATCAAGACAATCAAAACATTAGTACAAGTACATTAGCAACAGTTCCACAGTTTTATTTAGCCTAATATTTTTTTTTTTTAGCCCCTGACAAAAAAAAACAGTTTCTCAGTTAACTATTGTGAATGTGCCATTTATCTGAAAAGTTTCTAGGCCAAAAGTTTCAAATAAGTTTTACAAAACACAATTGCACTGCAGAAACAAGGCCACAAGAGTAAATTGACAATATGAATAATTAGTACACAAACCAGTACAAACATGCTGCTAGTATAAAAGTAAACAAACAATATAAACACAACTGTTGAAATCTTAGCCCACAAAAAAGGTATTACAAAGTAACAAACTCCTAATACTCCAAGGTTCAGATTTACCTGTGGTCTTTATTGTCTTGCGTGTCAAAATATTCTGACACGTTGATCTATTTGATTTGTCAAGTTTACCCAGTTTTGAATCCACTAAATGGTGTAGTGAATTTTGTGTCCACATTTTACTAAAATAATCTCTTGCCCAAATAAGTCCCAAGTCTGTGAGAATTGAAAGGTACTGACTATAAATAATATATAAATGAGTTTGAGGTCTATTTTTCAAGTACAATAAAACAAATTCACAAACAGAACAAGGGTTGCAACATTAACAGAGCAGCTCTGCGATTCAACTTCAACTGAATACTTTAGCCTAAGTAGCGAGTTTGGTTCCTACCCAACATTTCTTAAAAGGTAATGAGTTCCTGCTCTTGGTACTGCATATAAATGGCTATTATTTCAAATGCATGACTGTAATGTTTGATTACAGATGTTAAGTAATTATATAAACCATTCTATTGTTATATTTAAATTGTAACGAGATTCTATATTTAGGCATGAAACCTTACAATTCAATCTTTGAAATTCTGCCTCAAAGCAATAATTTTTGTATTTACATGGTATGTACATATTTTTTTTTTTAAAAACCTGAATTAAAATTTTGATATTTTTGACATGGGTAATTGAGTATTTCAGAATTGATTGCTGTCTAAATTCTTTTTAAGGCAGCAAAAAATCCATTATTTTCCAACTTCTATGTACCAGATGAGAACGTCCCGCACTTTTCTACTAAGACCCATCGCAGCCAGACCCAGAGTGCTGCTGGAGCCTGACACCTGCTTGGACTCTGCAGATAAGAACATTTTGAGCACTTTCAGTCTAGGAAATTCATATTTGATGTGGGTGTGAAGATATTAACAAGTTTGTGTGCTTACCACCATAGTAATACAGCAGAGCTGCTCCTACAGCCACACTGAAACAACTAAGGAAGAAAAACGGACCTGGGCAATGACAAAAAAACTAAGCAAAAAAAACATGATGGAACATCATTTATATAAATTGTTTACTAGTGCATAATCACAGAAAAGGCTGACTTACTATGGTCATTTATTACATATCTGTCTGTGGGACTCGGGATTGGGCCGACTGGTTCACCAGAATCTACAAAAACAAATCAAACTTGGTGTTCAAACCAAAAACGCTTCCAAGTAAAGCTTAATAACAAGCTTAAAGGAATAGTTCACCCAAAAATGAAAATGTATTCACCCTCAGGCCATGCAATATATAGATGAGTTTATTTCTTCATTGGAACAGATTTAGAGAATTTTATTACATCACATCGCATTACATCACTTGCTCACCCGTGGATCCTCTGCAGTGAACGGGTGCCGTCAGAATGAGAGTCCAAATGGCTGATAAAAACATAATAATCTACAAGTAATCCACATGACCCCATTCCATTAATGAATGTCTTGTGAAGTGAAAAGCTGCATGTTTGTAATAAATTCATCATTAAGCCATTTGAACTTTAAACCGCTGCTTCTAGCCAAAATAATAACATATCCATATGTTAACAATCCATAATAAAACTTCCTCCAGTGGAAAAAGTGCATCCCCTGTTGTCCTCTCACATCAAAATCCACCAACATATTTGTTGAGAACTGTTATGGACAGTTTTTATAGGTTGAAAAATGCCTTGATGAAATTATTACATTAATTTCACCTCACTGAAGTTGTGTTCTGTACTTGTGGACTATTGTGATGTTTTTACTCACTGCAGAGGATCCTCATCTACATCTTGGATGGCCTGGGGGTGAGTAAATTTTCAGTAAATTTTAATTTTTGGGTGAACTATTCCTTTAAATAAATTTCCACAACCACTATGAATCAGAAATTAAATGCTGCATTGTAAAAACTAAATGAATATCCTCACAAGTATGACATTTTTGAGTGGTTACGAGTGGAAAATGATGGTTCTGCCAACCTCTGAGTCGGAGACGTGTGGGTAAGCTGAAATAAACGTCCTCCACGTGGAGGTGCAGTGCATGGTAAAACTCTCGACATGCCTCCTCTCCTTTGTCCTGTAGATGAGACAGCAGCTCCGCCAGCCTGATACAGGTGGGCACATCCAAATCCCTGAACTAATGTTTGGGAATATCATTATTGGAAAAAGAAGTAAAGTACAAATATGGACTGTTTATATGTATAGAGTGCTGCAGCTATAATAATAAAACCTGGAAGACTAATTCATCATGGGTTCCCTTGAGATTTTCCTATGGGGTTTTTCAGTTCATGAGTAAAATAAGGTCTGTGGTAAACATAACTTGACGATACTTAAACGTTTTGCTGCTCACTCTCACACCCCAAACATTCTTATGTAGTTACTTATTATGAACACGTTTTTAAAAATAAAAATAACTGCTTCAAAATTTGTGTTTTCAGTATACAGGTACATCTCAAAAAATTAGAATATCATGAAAAAGGTCAATATTTTTTGTCACTCATGTCAGAAAGTGAAACCCATATATTATATAGATTCATTACACAGAGTAAAATATTTCAAGCCTTTATTTCATGAAATTTTGATGATTATGGCTTACAGATAATGAAAACCCAACATTTTTTGGGGGGTTTTCTAATTTTTCACACAAAAAGTGTCTCAGAAAATTAGAATATTGTGAAAAAGTTCAATATTGGAAAGTCATGGTGTCACACCCTAATCAGCTAATTACCTCAAAACACCTGCAAAGGTTTCCTGAGCCTTTAAATGGTTTCTCAGTCTGGGTCAGTATGCTACACAATCATGGGGAAGACAGATGTCCAGAAGACATTGACACCCTCCACAATGTCATTGACACCCTCCACAAGGAGGGTAAGCCACAAAAGTTCTTTTTATTGATCTTATGTAATATTCAAATTTTCTGAGACAACGAATTTTGGGTTTTCATTATCTGTAAGCCATAATCATCAAAATTTCAAGAAATAAAGGCTTGAAATATTTCACTCTATGTGTAATGAATCTATATAATATATGGGTTTCACTTTCTGAAATGAGTGACAAAAAATATTGACCTTTTTCATGATATTCTAATTTCTTGAGATGTACCTGTAAGTGTGTGTAATATAAGTTGTCCAGCAAAAAGTATAGTATAGTAAATGTATGTTTCCCACAAACCTTGTTTTACTCATAAATTGAAAAGCCCCATTATTAAAAGAAACCCATAGGAAAATCTTGATGTAACCCGTGGTGAATGAGTCTTCCGGGTTTGACGTCACGGCTGCAGCACTCTATTACTGAGGGTGGAGCTCTTACCTTGGAGGCCTCCTTGTCAGTCAGGATCTGTGGGTAGATTCTGTTGAGCTGCAGGATGAGTTTATCCACCAGTTCTGTATCTAGACGTTGGTCCGATTTCAGGAACCGGCTGTCTATTCGCAGCTGTTCATGGAAGCTCTCTGTCATTACACAGAAATAAAGTCATACAGGTTTGGAACAACATGACAGAACGAAAATTAAAAAAAAAAAAATTGGGGGGATAAACTATTCCTTTAAATAATCCAGACTAGTAACAAATATCTCTATAAATGCTGTACACATTTCAGCCAGAAGATGGAGGCACCTCATAAATATTACATTGAGCAGAGACACCGCAAGACTGTCAAACATACTTTTGAAGTAGATTGAGTGTTATTTCAATGCCTTTTAGCCAACAAAACGCCTTATAAATTCAGAAATACTTTATCAACAGATTATAGAGCTTCTGAAATGCAACATATTAAGCAGGGTAGACTTAATACACCGTAATGGAGCACAACAACTGTCGAGGCAAAACTAGTCGAAGCAGCTCAAGCTTGTGAGCATAAGATCCTATAAAACTCACTTTATAAAGTAAAAAGTATGTATTTATAGTTCTTAGTTATACTTATAAATAACAACTAGAAGTTTGACGGACCTCCCATTTTGAAGTGCCCTTCGCTGTCTTTTGTTTGGAAACGCCCATTGCATTGTATATGGAGGGGCGGAGACCGTGGTGAGAATTGCCGGAAGTTCCGATCAAAGTGAGGGTTACACACGGAAGTTCACGCAAATTCAGTTTATATTTAGTGTAAAGTCTAGATTCGATTCCCTTCGGTTGCATTGAAGAAACACTTGCTGAATATTAGTATATTAGACACGGTACGCAGTGAGCGCTATACTTTATCTAAAAGGATAATAATAAATTGAACTCAAGCTTATTTAGAATTTATAATAAAGTTATATAATGTATAAATAATATTAATTTTTATACACACACGTTAGCGTATAATAGACGGTTCCGTTTCTTTGTGGCACTTGTTTTTTTTTTTTACCCTGTAAAAATAAATATCTCTGCACGTCCTACTAGTGTCACCGACTGTCAATGTATGTTCAGATATAACAGGGGAAATAAGTTTTTAAAAAATAAAGAAAAGATGTCCATGTTATCCATCAACACCTGAGCAGGAAATATTTTTTCTTAATATCAGCACAACCCTGATTTGATCATTAGTAGGCTACTACGGAACAGTTGTGCAATATTGCTTTTATACAATAGTTAAAAAAAACAGTAATTTATCATTTTTAAGTATATAGAATTGCACTCAACCTGCTCCTCTCTCCAGGCAAATCCTTTCCCCACTCTGCTTTCTTGGAAAAGTGTCTAATTGTCAACTACCAATATACAACTTGAAGCTAAATGTAATATTTTATATTAGTTTATTGAGAAATGTTAAGACAGACATGGGCCTATAATGAGTTCCTCATGATAAACTACAGAGAAGCATGTAAAATATGTAAAAATGTAAAAAAAAAAAAAGAAGCACAACACTGAACATCAGCACTGTGTAAAAAAAAATAAAAACACAAAGGAAAAAAAACACAGACGAGGCAGCTTACATTGTACCTGTAATATTTCAAGAAGAGATGCAAAGAGGCAGCGCATCTGCCAGTAATAACGCATACAAACCTGTCATTAATACTGAACTGATAGCCAAGGTTATGAATAAATATGAACAAACAAGTGAAGTCATTCCATACAAATGTGTAAAAATAACTGAAAATGTCATAAAGCTATGACATGGCTGATGAAGCGGTTTCAGCAAATAGAAAACTATTGCATACACTCCAGAAACAACACAAAATTGCACTTAATTTGTAGTCAAAAGAAAAAAAGAAAGATAAAAAGATTATTTAAAACTTTACAATATCTTAAATTTGAAATGGCACTAATGTTCCGAGGTAAAGTTTTCTGCTTGCTGAAATACAAACAAAATAAAATAATTAGCAAGTTTACACATAGGAAAATAATGACTAAATGTCAACAGACAGCCATCAGAAATCATTACTTCCTTAAAGGAATGTATGATTTGAACACACCTAATACTTACTAAATTTAAAATCTCCTAAACAAGAAATCTGAGCTGACATTCAGAAGGAGTGTTTAATTATTGTCCAAATTAGACGTTCACACACTGGGCCAAGTGGGCTAGATCTGAGACTGACAGAAATACTGAAGACTATGGCTCTTAGAATGGTTCATGAAAACAAAAAAACAATAGTGGCATAAAAGGCACAGAAGGTCTTATGAGAGGGTTATACAATACAGATAATCAATGTCTAAAAACAAATATGTATTGCAATGTAAAATACAAAATGCTGACCTAAATGCAGTATTTGGCAAAAAAGTAGAAAGTATTCCAATTTGGAATTGATATTTTTTATGTCTGAATTTAACATATCCTTGACCCACAATGACAATTGACTCCAAACTTCTCAGGAGCAAGTCAAAAGTTATTGTTCCACAAGTGGAGTTACACTACATGACTATCAAGATAATGTTCCGTTAGAATGTTTGACTATTGAACAGAACAAGAAACATATATAGGCCTATTTAACATAATTGTTCTCCCTGGAATATGCTTAGAACCTGACAGTTCTAAGCATAAAACACTATAAACAAACCACAATTCTTATATTATTATTTTTTTCAGTTAAATACATAAAATTTGCAAGAACAAAACAAACAAAAAATGTGCCAAGCATACTGAAATGTGCAACTCTTACATAATATTAACTAGTGCACTGAAAGTGCACATTAAACAAAAACAAAGCAGAAAAAAATAACCCCCCCACAGTAACAGGCAAAATAATGATTACACAGATTGGTTGGCTTTACATGTGAGCCTGTGTTTTCTTGCAGCCACATCCAGGGACAAATTTCTTGTTTCCAAAATTGGACCAGGCATGTGTATTCTGGACGAATAGTGTAGAACAAAGGAAGAGGGGAAATAACCGTTTGCAGATAATCTCCAGAGCTAATAAAATTACTGCAAAATTGAGAAACAAAATGACCATCAGAATTATTACATCATAGCTGACCCAAATGTATTGTAAATAATTAATATAGCTAATAAGTCAAGTTGATAACACTGGACATAGACAAGTGAATGTTACCGTCAACAATGAGACAGGATAGATCCATTAGTACACAGCAGAACATGTAAGAATCATTTTTCCAGATGCAATGGACTGCAGGAAGCAGAAGACTCACATGCAACAGACAACATGCCAACTAATACAAACAGTTCAAACTGAGAGCAACAGATCATGCACGATAAAGTGGTTCAGAGTCATCACTGTAAAGATAACATGGACAATGTGTTATGCTGGCTGAAAGGCTAGATGAAACAGTACGAACAAAATCAACAAAGACATGGAATGACATGATAAAATAGTTGAAACCAACTTCTTAAATTCATCTTGAAGAAATTTAGTCTAAAATTTCTGAATTAACATCTTTTCTGTGCATGAAAACTCTATAAATCTAGACATTATCTTCAACAAAAGACACCTATCATTTTTTGTCATTTTTAGAACAAAATCTTTATCATGAATTATGTCCTGTAGGGTTGCAACCTGGATTGCAAAACTCCCAGCAGGCTCAGTAAGGTGCGTCTCTGTTGGGATTACACAGATTTATTCGCACTGACACAGAGATTAACAGACTAGCTTTGTGAAACTGGGTTTAACTCAATGACATTCAGTGCTGGTTGGGTTGCAGTAGAAACACTGGTCTCAGATGTTCAGAGAGAAAAGACAAATTTAGACAGACGTAGATGTATTTTAACATGTTTAGTACTTTTCCTTAATTGTTTCCTCAATCCTTGTTTATAGATATATATGGGTTGCAACTAAACTCACTGGAATACAATGAAATTGGAAACAATGCATTGCATTGTACATTACACACCAATGTGCTTTGGTCATATACTGCACATTTTGACAATCGTGGTAGGTCATGCAGTTAATCAATGCATACCGGAAAATTGTATGCACTACAGCCTGCTTTCCTTCTTTATTTTTTTTTTGGCATTTTTGCCTTTATTGTGACAGGACAGTATTTAGACAGGAAGCGAAGTGGGAGAGAGATGGGATCGGGAAAGAGGGGATGGGATCGGGAAAGGCCTGCGAGCCGGGACTCGAACTCGGGACGCCCGGAGCGCAACATCGCTATATGTCGGCGCCAGACTGCTTTCTTTAAAAAACAAAAAAACAGCAGGTAGTACAAATGTCAAGAGTGCCGAATGTCGAAACTAAAGAGATTCATTTCGGTACCAAAATATTGGAGTCTGCCTATTACAAAAAAAAAAAATTTAGTGATTGTGATAACCCTAGTAGATAGCATTACCAACCCATTCAATCTCTCCAGATAGATCTACAGGAGAAGGACTAGGCCCAAACCTTTAGACAAGTATTAATGAAGCCAGCAACTGTTAGCACAAACAGTGACATGCTAGCATTGTTTTGTCCCAAGCACACATACAGTAAAAGGATTGTTAGTTAGCATGAGGATGCTGATGAGTGACAATTACACACAGGTGTTAATCGGATCCAGTGTCACACAGAATTTTATACTTCTCACTGCAGAAAACCGCAGGACTTCCAATGAGGCCGTGTGGTTGTGGTCGGTTCTTACAGGGAAGTCTAGGACTTACATGGGGGCTGGAAAACGACAAGGGTCCTCTGCCACGGCCAGATGAAGCCTTCCCACGGCCGCCAGGCCCAGCACCGGATCCTCTTCGGGATTGCTCGTGGTCAAACTCCAGATCCTCCAGTCGCTGAGTGAGGGCCAGTTTCTGCTGGATGGCCATACGCAGGAGGGAGTTCAGAGTCTTCTTCTCATCTTCTGCTGCAGCCAGCTGCCTCTGCATGTCGTCCAATTGAGTTACATACTCATCACACCTAAAGAAGAAAATGGGAAAGAGGGATAGTGCAAGAAAGATTTAGTACCTGAAATGCATAACCCTACTGTTCTCTGGACAGTAGCAGGAATTTCTGCCAGATAAAGAAAGCTGGAAGAGAAGCAACTTTCAGTTGTCTTCCTGCAGTACCTGGTGGCAAACATTGCCCTGAGAGAGGAGAAAGTGGCAGCATCTTCTTTAAGAGCCTTCAGCTCGTTCCTCAACTTCATCATAGTTTCGGTGACCATGGCCTTTTCATTCTCATATTTGCTCTTTAAGTTTGCCAGGGCAACCTCAGCTGTCTAAAAGGGCACAGAACCACACCACAGTTCAGAAAACGCTCTTGAAATACTACAATCTAAGGCAGTCCATTTGGATGGTCTACAAGAAGATCAATATTCTGCCGTCATATACACCCATGCCAACCTAATCGTTTTTGTTCTCACCTGTTTGTTGGCCTTGAGCACAGTCCTCAGCGTGGCAATCTGTTCTCGCTTAGTGCTCAGCAGGGACTTGAGCTTCAAAATCTCCTCCATGCAAGCAGCTTGGTCTTTATCCGCCACGGCGGCCAACTCTAGAGAAGCAATTCTTTGCCTGGATAGTTCTGTGGTACGGTCCACCGCCTTCTGCAAGTGGCGTATCTGATCTCGAATTATTGCTACTAGGTTGTAGATGTCCATTGGTTCAGGACGTGGATCTTCTCTGACTGGTGTCCCAGAAGTTGAGCTGTCAGCAGCGGTGGAGGTTGACCTGGGTGCCTCGGCTGTGCTGCCACTGGTTTGGGTCAACGTAGACTGACGATCTTTACCATCGGTCTTGTTTCCTTTACCCTCTTTGTAAAAATCAAGCATGACACGATTCGGGGTTTCATTGTTGCACATGCAGACATGGTGGTAGAGGTTTGCAAGCTCGTTCTGAATACTT